CCTCAATAAGAATCTTCATAAGTTTCATCTCATCATCTAAAGTAATGTTTTCTGATTGAAATGACACGCTGACATAGTTTATTGCTTGCAGCGCTTTGAACCAGAAGGTTGTCATGATAATAAACTCAAATGACTGAACCCATTTCTCTAAAGATTTTATGTCAATCAATAGATCAGCAGTTAAATCAAGATCACGAAGTTTCTGCAAAGATAAAAGAATTTCTCTGGGTCGCTTAACCAAAGGCTTCACAGCCTCAATGCGTGCACTCCATCGGGTTTGTGAAGTTTGATGTAGAGACAAACCAGTCGTCTCGGTCAAGATTTTCCATCGTATAGGGCTTCCACTAAAAAGATTGTAGAGTAACTGAATACGACCGAAATAGTTCTTCATTTCTACAGAAGGTTCAAGTGAATGAACACCAGCTAAATTAAGGTTATGAGTGCTGCATGGCATGTAGAAAGCTTGAGGATTTCTCTGAAGAATGATCGCTTGTACTCCTTTGTACACACCAGACATATTAGCACCGTTGTCATATCCCTGACCTCGACAGTTCTTCAGATCAATGTCATTTTGATTTAAGACATCTATAATTAGCTTAGCAATATCCACACCTTTCTTTTTATCGACACTTTCGACCCCAAGAAAGCGCTCCTTAACTACCCATTTTTTATCAATACCATAGTAGACAAAGCGGAGAACAAATGCAATTTGCTCTGTATGAGAGACGTCAGGCGTTCCGTCGACAAGAATAGAATAGTAAATTGCCATTTGCGCCTCTTTAATGATGGCACCGTAGACGATTCTTCCGCACTCTTTTATGAATTCATTTTGAGAACTCCAACCCAAATAATGCGCAATAATTTGTTTACCTTCTTGTTGGCAGCGAGAAACCTCTTCTAGATGTAACTGAAGAGTCTTGTTGTGCTTTGCAAGTAGCTCTAGAGTTGCAAGAAAGTTGCCGTTATCGTCATCACCGATCATTTTTGATGAGCCTAAAATATTGATTTTAATTAAATCACATATAAATCATGACTTTCTGTTTAATTATAGTAAAAATAAATTATAACGTAAACATAAATACAATAATTAATGTTCACAAATATACCTCTGAAGCTAAGGTTGCGTGATGCTAAGAAGAGAATTACATCTAAAATGCACTTTAAAATTTCACGCCACCTGGCTGCCTCATTTCTTATCAATTTTTCTAAACTTGAATCAATCCCACATTGATTTCCCAAGCTTTCCAGCGCTGTTTTCCACCTAATATAATTGTCTCGATGGTGAGGATTGTTTTGGTGGGCTTTTACTTTTTCAGCTAGCTTTCTCCAGTTTCCATTGATGCCACCATTCCAACGTAGAAGATGTGAATTATTACCAGCCCCGCAGGCTTGTTTGCTTCCGAAAAGTGAGCACGGAAAGCAAAGAATTGATTTTGAAGTTGAACTCCAAACAAGCCAATCTCTGTTTATTTTCTCCCCATTACGAGTTATTTCGTGGAAAACTGATTCAGGAACCTTAATCTTGTTTGAGTCTCTCGGAAAAGATAAAGGATTTTTAGGGGGCCCCTGAAGAACAACTGCATCGCGTTCTACTTTGGACATATTTTCAGCCCACAAAGCAGGATCCTTTGCAGTAATTGCCTCATCCAATTTATCTTTATGCTAATAATTTAAATAAAGATTTTAATAAGTATATAATTTTCACAAATTCACAAAAATAATTAAAGAATCTTTGCGAAGCAAATTTTACCAAAATATTGTTTTCATTTTCAACTCTTGTTGCCGATATTGCCAACGTGCCACTCGAAGGAGGAAGTGGTTCTTCTGAGTTCAACAAAATTTTACAAGAATCGTTTTAAAAGCTATCCTATAGAAAATAAAGTAAAATATTCAAAAATATCTTGATTTATATAATAATAGTATAATAGAAAAGATATATAAAAAAAGAAGGTTATGTTTAGATAAATGAACTTACTATTCCAAAAGCTTGACGTGATTGAGAGGAATTTATAGATATCAATCTGGAAACTGTAGGCCTATCCCCGTCATTTTTTTTAACTTGGATACCACAATCTTCGAGCGTAAGTTTTTTTGCTCATTTGCTGTCCTATTTGCCGCATTTTTTCTGTTTTGACAGCCAGAATCTTTTTTCTTGAAAGTGAACATGTTTTGTTTTTAAGAAAGTTTTGAATTTGATTGAAAACTATTTTTATGATACTTAGTAAAACTATATTAAATGTAAGAATCTCAATTATACAATGTACTTTAACCTTATTTATCTATCTATATATCTATCTATCTATCTATCTATATATATATATATATATATATATATATATATATATATATATATATATATATATATATATATATATATATATATATATATATATATATATATATATATATATATATATATATATATATATATATATATATATACATATATATATATATATATATATATATATATATATATATATATATATATATATATATATATATATATATATATATATATATATATATATATATATATATATATATATATATATATATATATATATATATATGTTCTTTATAAACAAAGCAGCTCTTACGAATATTTTCCCGCATCAATTTTGAATAGACTCAGACTCCCGCATATGAGTTCGACTAATACTGTATTGTTAAGTTAACAATACATTTGAAACTTATATTTTAAAATTAGCAGTTTGAAAAGTTTTTCATTGAAGCCCTGTGTATCTATTTTTTTTTTTTTTTAAATTATCATTTGAGCGCCCCTTATGATCCTGCGCCCAGGTAAAAAGTACCCAGTGACCCCCCCCCCCCACGCGGCGGCCCTGTATATATATATATATATATATATATATATATATATATATATATATATATATATATATATATATATATATATATATATATATATGTGATATATGGATTTTTTGAAAAAACTGTGATCAAATTTTAAGTTTTTTTAACTTAAAACGTCATAACTTGGTCAATTGTTATCGAAATACATACAACTTGGTATTAAAATATAGGTCTAACAAAGGCCAATATGTGCATACAAAGGGTGTTTAAAGGGCGATGGGAGGCGTCAACAAAACCCTTTATTATATTGAAAAATGTAGATTTTAAAAAATAAAATATTGTTATTGAATTAAAATTTATTATTTTTATTCGTATTTTTTAATATAGTATAACAGGGTACCATCATACATGGTTTGGATACTTTAGATTGATAGACTAGAAGTCATTTTGGCCTCGGGCGCACCATCTGACCCAATATCAAGATTATTACTTAGTATCTTCATATCTAAATGCATACGATTTAGTGTCAAAAAAAAAAACTCAAATACTAAATATCATCTTGTAATAATCAATAGTATTTATATATAGCATAAATTTTTGAAAATCAAACTTAACTACATACAAATATTAATATACAAAAAGATTTTATACAAACATCAACTTATTAAATATATATACATACACAATATACATAAACCTATCAATAACTATATATAGATTCAGCTGAATATAAACTTGTTAATAACTATATGTATATTTGTTAATAACTACATTCCTAAATCCTCTGCCATCCCATTTGCCACCGGGAGGTTTGTATTGAAAATGAGACAGATCTTCACCTCCATTCTGAGCCCATATGCAGAAGGCCCTCTTTGTTCCAAAATAAGAAACCATTTCAAGACAAGCCTATATTAAAAAAAGCAAAAAATTAAATAAGCATTCGAAAACTTAAAATGAAATTTTAAGTTTTCGAACGCTCATTTAATTTTTTTCTTTCAGCTGAATCTATATACACTTATTGATAGGTGTATGGATAGTTATTATTACCATTTATTATTACCAACCTCAATTGCACATCGATTATCTTCCAATTCTTCAAGCTAAAAAAGTCTGGATTTCACACCAATATCATTCTCCAATATTATTCAAAACTAAATCCTTCTATTAATAATAAACGAAAAAAAAATATTATATGGTTTAATCATCCTTACAGTAAAAATGTGGTAACAAAATTGGACACCTTTTCTTAAATTTAATTGACTTGCATTTTCCGTTACATCATAAGATCCACAAAATATTCAGCAGAAATACAATAAATATTAGTTACAGCTGCATGCCAAATATGCGATCGATTATTAATTCACACAACCAATAAATTTCGCGCAACAAACTCACCGCTAATTATATAAATTGCAACCACATGCCCATTAAATAACCAATGTCTATCAAAAAATGTTGTATATTAAGCCACTTTAGAATCACCTAGTCACAGTCTTACAGTAAAATCCTACATTGGAATTAGTGAAAACACATTCAAGCTCAGATTTGCGAACCTTATAACCCAAATTTATAAAGCAAATAAGTGTAACCTTTGCATCAATGAATAATATTTTATTATGACTTTTGATAGTCGATCTTGTTCACTACCGATATCGATTTATCGAAAACTATCGATCAAAAAAGTGAACTGTTTGTAGGTATAGGAAAAATTTTTAAGATCTAACTTCGATTCTGGCGATTAGCAATTATCGGGTCACGTATAATTGACGTCAGATGCCGTTGCAACGCTAAACTTATTTTTTATTATTGAATAATATAACTGATGATTGCCGAATGATATGAAACTTTAAGTTCTATTATAAAGTTGAATTTTTTCATTCAAATTATTTTAATATATATATATATATATATATATATATATATATATATATATATATATATATATATATATATATATATATATATATATATATATATTAGTGCTGGGCAACGATTAAATATTTTAATCGCGATTAATCGCATGATTTTTTGCGATTAATCGCGATTAATCGCAGAAATACGAAAAATTCAATAATAAAACCACAAGTAGTATATATATAGCGTAAATTTATTTTTTCATAGTTAAATTAACATAACTTTTGGTTTGTCAAAACTTTAAACAATTTTATCCATTCTTCCAACTTTACTTACTCATCTGCACCAAGCCAGTTACTAAGACAAACAAGGTAATTCACATTTTCAGATGATAAAGAAACTCTCTTCTTTTGTACAATATGACCAGCAAGAGAAAACAATCTTTCACAAGGAACAGATGTTGCAGGTGTTGCCAAGTACTTCTGTGCAATTGAGGCCAGCCTGTTGTGTGAGCCTGCATGTTTGGACCACCACTGTAATGGACAGGCCTCTGTACTGATGGTGGGCTCTGCTTTGTACCGACGCACACCGTTTTCAAATGAGTCTTCCTCTTGTTCAGAATCAGACTCTGATGAAGCAACCAATAGAGCAAATTTTCTCTTTGATGGCTTTGATGTTGCTGCTTCCACAGGTTCATCTGCAATAACCCTCTGTTCCTTGAGTAATTTAGTGATTGAGACCCACACCTCACCTCTCTTAACTCTGGGTATACACTTGAGGTCTTTGAATCTCGGGTCCAATGCGGTTGCAATCTTTAGATATGCAATGTTGGCATTTTCCTTGCGTGTTTCCAGATCTATTCTGAACATAGATTTGAATTTGACTACATAGGCTGGGTCATCATCTGAGCTCTCCATCACCCGAGAGAGATGGCATAAAGCAGGCAGAACCACAGAGCATGAAACGTACTTTTCTCCACCCAGAAGTTCAGTCACATACCTGCAAAAAATAAAACCCATTTCACTCAAATGTTTTGCATTCACTTATACACACAAAAAGTGTTCTCATGTTCATGCTTACGCACAAATACAGACACATCAATTCTCTCACATGCAATCAAACCAGTCAGTAAGAAATATATGATGTAAAATATATCTGCAGGGTTCTAGGAGCTTTTCCAACCTCTGCAATTTGTCCATTTCAGCTGGAGTTGGCATAGCAACTTTTGTGTTGTGTGTGGTGAGGACATCGCTCAGTGGCTGTTCGTTTCTGCGAACACTTTTTATCATGTCCAGAGTCGAGTTCCATCTGGTTGGAATGTCTTGTATAAGCGACTCCTTCTTTTGTCCAAGCTCAATTTGTTTTTTTTCTAATTCTGAAGCACTTGCTGGACTGTGTTTAAAATGGCCCACCACCTTTCTGCATTTAGCCAGGGCATTGTCAAACGCGCTGTTGTGCAAAGATACTGTGACAGAACGCTGAAGACTGTGAGCGACACAAGGGACGCGTTCAAAAGGCAGATGTCTTGCAGCAGCGACAATATTTCTAGCACAATCTGTGCTAAGTGTGCTGACTTTATTTAAAATGTCCCACTGCTGTGCAACATGAATGAAATGTTCTGCGCACGTTTCAGCAAAATGTTTTTCTTGTGTCTTCATTACTGTCAAAGCATGTGAATGCAGTTTCCATTGTTCATCAATGTAATGCACAGTTACTCCGAGATAATTATGGTTACCCAGCGATGTCCAGTAGTCTCCGGTGAGGGCAACAGTTTGTGCACGTTGTAATGCCGTTGCCTTTATAGTCCTCTCGTTTTCATACAGTTCATGTATTTTTCTTACAATGGTGCGTCTTGGCGGAGGCTCATACGTGCAGTCATTCGTTGCGATCCGAATAACATTCTTCAAACCGACATCTTCCACAATACTAGTTGGCCTGCAATTTGTAGCTACCCACTTTGCAATGGCATTTGTTATCTTGTCTTTCTTTTATTTCTCTGCAGTTCTCCCTCGTGCTGCATCTAACGTAGTCTGCCGAAGGTTTCCTCCACTGTTTTTTTGGGTGGATGATTTGTTAGCATCAACGGTGTGCATTGCATTTAAGTGATACTTCAAACTTGAAGTACTCCGATGATAAGAAAATTCCGCTTTGCAGTGTTTACAAATAGCTTTAGTTCTATCTACTCCTTGTTGAAGAGGTTTAAAATAAAAGTGTCCGTTTAAAATTTCGGTACCTTTTTCCATTTTTAAATATTTCTCAATTTACTTACTGCTTGTTGTTTGAGCATAAGCAATAACATAAATACGCACGAAAGTTTCAATTCTTTTATGGTTCGATTATTATCGAATTATAAATAATTAAATTATAATTCGATTATTACATAATTTTGAAACAATACAAAATAAATAAACAAAACTATAAATAAACATAAAAATACAAAATGCAAAATAACTTTTTTAATATATTAATACTAATATAAATTAATATAATAATAATTATAAGCAATAATAAGCAAAAAATATAAAATGAGAAACGAAAACTTTGACAGACAGTTTCACAAAAGAAAAATAAAGTTAAGCTTGTGAATCTTAAAAAAAAACGAGCGACAGAAACTCATAATGAACTCATTGTAAAGACTAATAGGTGGAAAAAAAAATTTCATAAAAACTTAGCAAAAAAATATATTTTTTTACAATAATAAAATCTGGAGATTAATTTTTTAATATAAATTTAATAGTTCTGTAAACTAAAGATTGACAGGTCTGTTTTGATGAATTTTGTGCAGCCCTGTCACTTTTTAGTTTAATGAACTATTAAATTTAAATTAAAAAGTTTACTTTTCACTTTTTAGACTTACAAAATAAAAAGTACGTTAACGCGCGATAAAATTATTGTCGGCGTTAATTAATTAATGCGTTAACGCGATAATAACGCGTTAACTTGCCCAGCCCTAATATATATATATATATATATATATATATATATATATATATATATATATATATATATATATATATATATATATATATATATATATATATATATATATATATATATATATATGTATATATATATATATATACATATATATATATATACATATATATATATATATATATATATATATATATATATATATATATATATATATATATATATATATATATATATATATTATATATATATATATATATATTATTTAAATGAAGAAAAACAACATTATAATAGTACTTAAAGTTTCGTGCCTTTCGGCAATCATCAGCTATTAATTACAAATTAAAAATTAAAAATTAACATTTAAAAAACGAATCAAAATTTTACGGTAGAACGAGTTCTGACGTAATTTGAAAAGGCGCAATCATTTTATCTCCAGTATCAAACGAAGATAACAGGAATTTATTTAAATGTCGACAATTAGATAATATTTCGTCTTTTATATTAAGCAGGTTGTTTCCATTAAAGATAAAATTTCTAACTTCTCATGAAGACAAAGTTTGCAGGTTTTTGTTTCTGGTTTGTAAGCTTCACAGCGTTTTACAATTTTCCACTTTATAATAGGTGTTGTACCTTTTTCTTTTAAACTCCAAATTTCTTTTGAAAGTTCAGTATCATTTTTATATTTGATCGCATTAAAAGACTTTAAATGATTTGCGTATCTGAGCTTGAATGGTGTCTCACTGATACCAAAATATACTTTTTCCTTAGGATCTGGATCATCAGAACTCACAGTGGCTTGGTAAACAATATTACTTACTAAACATTGGTTACTTAATGGACAAGCGGTTTTAGTAATACAGTTGCATGTTTTTGTAGTTTTATTTCTTTTACTTTGTAAAATCTTGTGGTTGTGTAAACTAATGATGGATTTAATGTGGTTGTGTAAACTAATGATGGATTTAATATTTTGTATGCAGCTATAACTAACCTTGATCGAATTTCTATTGAAAATATTGCGTAGTTTGTGATTCACAGGAAAATGTAGATCAACCAATGCTAATAAACGATTTCCTATTTTTGTTTCTACATTTAGACTAAACGGAGGGTTATACCATATAATATTTCGCTTGCAATTTTTATTTTTAGGTGATGTAACCTGGGGTTAGTATGTAAGCTTACAGTTATAACCAGCTTTTTTAAAAGCCTCTTCGTAAGATGGTGTAGTATTATTAAAAACAACTTCATTTGATGACGTTGAGGATAATCTTATTTCAACAGCACGTTGGAGTCTTTTAATAACATTAGGCGGGTGGTTGGAATAAATATATATATATATATATATATATATATATATATATATATATATATATATATATATATATATATATATATATATATATATATATATATATATATATATAATATTTATATGTAACATATAACATGAGGTATATCTTCAAGTTAACAGAGTTATTACAAATTTTATTATTTTATCGTTTAATAAAGTTATTACAATTTTTTTCGATGAATAAAGTACAATATAAAATTCTCTTATTTTCTAAAATCATCAGGCACAGGAAAGTGTTTGACTTATCACACTTTTATCATATTTGTCAAACTAATATGATAAAAATAACAAAGTTCATCAAATGATAATTTCTAAATGGAAGTAAAAGTGTTAGACTCTATTACAATTTTAAATGTGTTCAATTAATTTATTTTATAACGTTTTCTGACACATATTTATCTTGTAATTACAACAAAAAAAATTAATTAATTTCATAATGAGATTGGTGCCTATGGTTTAGCACTGTGTTTCATTTTATTATTGTTTATTTAAACTCGTATTATAAAAAGTTTCTAGAAAAATTTTACCGGCTAAGATTTAAAAACTTGCTATTTTAAACATTTTTAGAAATCAGTAATATTTTTAAAAAACCGCTAAAAAGACTACAATTTAAAATTTTTTAGCATTTTAAATTGGGGATTTTATATCAGAATTTTCCTTCCTAAAGTCATCACCTCGTCATGACAAATGAGTCTTGCCTGTCCAACTTTTTTTTAATTTTTTACTTGTGGCACAATGTTGGCCTGTTTAAGGTATTGAACTCAGATTTAAGATTGTATTGTAAATAATTTATTATCTGAAAGCTACATTTAAAAGAAATAATAGTAATAAGTAAATGAATGCTTTAAAATTTAAAGCATTCCCAGCCGGCATTATTACGTTGTTTCAATGTTGAAATTCGGTTGAAGCGTTGATTCAACGTTGTTTAACTATGTCACAACGTTAAATCAATGTTACCGTTTAAACGTTGATTATTTAACGTTATTTCAACGTTAAATCAACGTTACAGTTTAAACGTTGATTATTTAACGTTATTTTAACGTCATTATTTCAATCATTGTTGACAAAAAAAGCGATATAAAATTTATGCGCGCGCAGAAATGGAAGTAAAATCGTAAACATTATTTCAACGATTAAAGTTATAGAGATTTATAATGGAAAAATAATGTAAATACTGAACTTATATCATAGAGAATTTTCAAGAGATCGAAAACATGTTCAGACGATTTTCCTGAAAGAACATTATCGTTTAAAAATCGATATTTTTCGTTTAACTTGGGCTACAATGCTCAAAGACTGATATTATTGAATGTAAATATAATACAGCTTTTTCAAAAAATGATCCATTAAATTATGTTGAATTTAATGCTAAGCGTTGTTTTTTAATAGAGCATCAAGAATTAAAAAAGGAAATTGATAACTTTAAAAAAGAACTTCAGCACGAAATAAAAAAATAAAGATTTATTTGAAAAATTAACTTCAACCACATCAGTTATTACTATGAAAACAGACAAACTTGTATATAAACATAATTCAAACAAATCGTGTTATTGCAATTTACTTGTATACAAACATTTATTTTAAAAATAATAGATCTTGCGACTTTTATACTGGCCTTACATCTGTCAATGTGTTTCATCACTTAGTGCAGTATCACCATTAATCAAAAGAGATAAAGTGATATTAAAAAAACATTTACTTCTGTTTTTTTAAATTTAAAAAAATCCTTCCCTACTTGGACCAAAATAAATGTAATGCAGCAAAGATTAATTTTTAATGATTATTGACAGCTGATTTTGCTGACAGGTTTAATATATTTTTAGGATTATTGAATGCAGTATTTTCTTCATTGTTGAAAGCTTCTGGCTCACTTTTAAACCAAATGGTTTTTGTTCCAAGTAAAGATGTTATAAGACAGGCAATGCAAAACAGATTTTAGAAATTAAATTATTCAGACTAACACTAAATTTCAGATATAACAGAATTTATTATGGAAACACCTTAAATATTTGACTTACAGAAACTAACAGGGAATAAATACAAACATTACAATAATATAAAAACATTAGTACCCGTAGATCCAAATTCATCAATAATTTCTTTAAAAAATTTCTAAAGCTTACAGAAGCTAAATTTTGGATAAAAAAATTACATATCGCAACATTTATTTAGATTGTATTACAAAATACTCTTGTATAATGTATGATTAAGGCTTTAATATTAATTTTTTAATACAAATGAAGTGATTTTAATTAAATCCATTTTTATCAGTCACTTTAAAAATATTATGAGTATTTGTATAAAGATAATTAAAATTTCAAACAATAATATTAGCTTTACTTGTTGTTTTTTTTTAGGTGAATCAATTGCAATTGATGGAATATCTTTAAAATGCTGAGGTAATCAAAATAATTTTTAATTATTCAGGAATTTTAAGGATTAAATTATTTAGCAAAAAAATTGTTTGATAATGAGTTCAATTTAAATTAAAAAAAAAAATTAATATCAGTTCTCGCACAATTAATATCAGTTCTCTTATCTATTAAAATTTAGAATATTTTCCAACAATTTTGTGACCTCCATGAATATGAAGGGGAAAGGTGGAAATATGCTTTAAGAGCACTAATTTATATGGTGTAGTGAAAGGTATACCTTTATAAAACATGTAAAACTTTTTTATTCTCATTTTTTTTATATATTCAAAAATTTCTCCTTGTGTTTTTTTTTTTTTATTCTAATTCTTTTTTACTAACAGCTTCTTCTAGTAAATACGATGGAGCGACTGAAACTTTAATTGATGGCATTTTGTCTAACTTCTAAAAATATGCTTCATTTCGAAAAGGTGGCGGAAACGAAAAAAATTTAGATTGATTGATATAGATTTATATTTATAAAAATCGATCTAAAACTTCTTTATTGAAATATTTACATATATTTTAATAAAGAAATATTTTCTTTTTGTCTGCTAATATTTTTTTTTTCCAGTGTTAATTCAACATTACAAATTAAAACTCAATTATGAAAAATTCCTAGAATTGAGTTGATGTTTTAAGTAAAATAAGAAAAGCCAAAAAAGTAACTGTTGTAACGTTTTTATTTTTTGACAAAAAAAAAATTCTAATAATGTTTAAAATTGGTATTAATATTAATGTTTATTAGATGAAGATGAGTAAAAAATAAGTAATGTTTATTAGATGAAGATAAGTAAAAAAATAAGTTACAAGTTATTTTTTGGTCTTGAAAATTGTTTGAATGATAATTTATTATTTATCAAAATATTTTCTTTTTTAATTTTTGTTGTTTTTATATTTTAATTAAAAGTCGATATTATTGTGTCATATATTATAATATACCTTTAATTATACTGTTATATTTTATATTAATAATGAGTATTTTTGTTTTTTTGTATTTCTATTTTTTTTCAACATTCCATAATAATCTTATGTAGATGTTGATGTTTTAGCAACCTAGTTTTCTTTCATTATTTGTCTTTGTTATTGAGCCTTAAGTTATTTGAACATAATATATTCAGAACTCTGCTGAATAATAGAGTAATAAATAAATTAATAAAAATGAGTTTAAAATATAATAAATTTATAAAATAAAGAAAATCTTATCTTTGCTTATAATGTCTACTAATATTATTGTTTAGCAAGTATCATGGTTATAAAATGTTCAAATTTAGGTAGTTTAATTAGGCCTGTTAGTACACTTATATTATGGTTTCTTCATTTTATATTAGTTCATGTAATTTTTTCAAAATCAAATATGCGGAAAGAAGCTGTTTGGAATGAAGATTTACAAGAAGAAGTAATTCCATCTAATTGGATTAGTGATAAAACTGTTTGTCGGCTTCCAGATACCAAAGCATTGACTGATCTAAAATGCAGAGAAGAGTTGGCTTAAGTTTATACAAATAAAAACTAAATTCTCTTCAGGTATTACATCTATATATTACAATTTTTATTTTTTAAATAATGTGGTAAAAAGAGTTACTTTGTTGATACAAAATATATAACTATTTGTATAACTATTTCAATTCTAAAAGAAAGCAAACAGTATTGTGAAAATTTTAAATTCACAACTACAAACTAAAAATGTGATAATGAGAATGTTGACAAGTGGATGCAAGATTTGCACACAAGTGGAAACTTGGATGCAAATTTTCCACTTGTGTGGTTTGGATGGTTCTCCACAATATAATATATCTCCACAAGCATAATATTAGATTTACTTCATGTTTTTTTACAAATAAATCAATTACAGTTAATTGGTGGAGTTACCTCATTTATAATCAGGGTGTCTGCAGCTCCTCTAAAATCCTCTAAAGTCCTCTTTTTTTAAAACCACTTCTAAAATCCTCTATTATCCTCTAAAGAGGTAAAAGTTTGATCAAAGCTCCTCATTAATTTTTCCTTTTTTAATTTTTGATGGATGTATAATGTTCAAAATACCCATTCTCGGTCTGCAAAACTGGTTAACGCCTTAAAGTGCATGGAATTGTAAAAAAATGCTTTAGAAAATGCATGCTATTTAACATAACAAATGACATTATTTGATCCCTGTCCCAGCCCCATAAGTGTATAAACATGGACGTTAAACCATTAATAAATGGCCACATAAAATTTCTTATAAAAATTTTATGTGGCCACCCCGAAAATAATTTTCTTAATGCTAGAAATGTTTTATATTTTGATTATTAATTTATATTTAATATATTAAAAAAGTTGTTTTATTTAAATTAAATATTTGAAAAATTTAATAATAACCAACTTACAGTTATATTATTTTTTTAAAATTCAGAGTATTTTCGAAAAGTTATATGGCCTCTATGGATATGAAGGGTAAAGGTAGAAAAATATATTTTAAGAACACTAATCTATATGGCGTTGAAAAAGATATACCTTCATAAGTTGTAACACTTTTCCATTCATTATTTATTTTTTAAATTTTCCGTTTTTGTTTTTTTTAATATATTTTTTTATTTACAGCTTCTTCTATTGTATTCAATGGACCAAAGGAACCCTTGGTTAATGGGACATTGTTTGACTTTCTAAATTACGCTTTTTTTCAAAAAGGTGGTAAAAAAGAGAAGAAATTTGTGTAGATTTTATTCAATTACATGTAAATATATGTAATATTTGAATGTGTATTTTCGAATAATTATATTTTGATTATTAATTTATATTTAATATATTAAAAAAGTTGTTTTATTTAAATTAAATATTTAAAAAAGTTAATAGTAACCAACTTACAGTTATATTATTTTTTTAAAATTCAGAGTATTTTCGAAAAGTTATATGGCCTCTATGGATATGAAGGGCAAAGGTAGAAAAATATATTTTAAGAACACTAATCTATATGGCGTTGAAAAAGATATACCTTCATAAGTTGTAACACTTTTCCATTCATTATTTATTTTTTAAATATTCCGTTTTTGTTTTTTTTAATATATTTTTTTATTTACAGCTTCTTCTATTGTATTCAATGGACCAAAGAAACCCATGGTTAATGGGACGTTGTTTGACTTTCTAAATTACGCTTTTTTTCAAAAAGGTGGTAAAAAAGAGAAGAAATTTGTGTAGATTTTATTCAATTACATGTAAATATATGTAATATTTGAATGTGTATTTTCGAATAAAACAAGTTTTATCTCTTTCTTTAATCATACCTAGCTATTTTAACTAAACTAAACTGAAAAAGTTCTAAATAGTCTAAGTATAGACTATGAATAGATTTAATATCCATTATATACCTTGATAATGTACCCAGCCGGCAAATAACGTTGAAATAACGTTGAAATATCGTTGAAACCTAACGTTGAACTAACGTTGGTTTAACGTTTAGAATGAAAGTTTTTTTCAACGTTGATTTATCAACGTTAAACCAACGTTAGGCTCAAACGTTATATCAACGTTGAATCGACGCGAAAAAACGTAACAATAACGTTGAATTAACGTTCATTTAACGTTTAGAATTAAAGTTTTTTTCAACGTTGATTTATCAACATTAAATCTACGTTAGGTTCAAACGTTATATCAACGTTGATTCGACGCGAAAAAACTATACAGCAACGTTGAATTTACGTTGATACAACGTTTAAAATGATAGTGTTTAACGTTGATTTATCAACGTTAAACGACTGTAAAACACTTTTTCACCATCAAAACGTGCTATGTATGTCAAAATGTATATATGTATGTTAACGTGCTATGTGCGTCAAAATATGATCACCATCAAAACGTACTATGCATGTACATTAGTGTTGCTGTACATTATCAAGGTATATTATGGATATTAAATCTATTCATAGTCTATACTTGGACTATTTAGAATTTTTTCAGTTTAGTTTAGTTAAAAAAGCTAGGTATGATTAAAGAAAGAGATAAAACTTGTTTTATTTAAAAATACATATTCAAATATTACATATATTTACATGTTATTGAATAAAATCTACACAAATTTCTTCTCTTTTCCACCACCTTTTTGAAATAAAGCGTAATTTAGAAAATCAAACAATGTTCCATTAACCGAGGGTTCTTTTGGTCCATTGAATACAATAGAAGAAGCTGTAAATAAAAAAAATATATTAAAAAAATCAAAAAGGGAAGATTTAAAAAATAAATAATGAATGGAAAAGTGTTACATCTTATGAAGGCACATCTTTTTCAACGCCATATAGATTAGTGTTCTTAAAACATATTTTTCCACCTTTGCCCTTCATATCCATAGAGACCATATAACTTTTCGAAAATACTCTGAATTTTAAAAAAATAATATGACTGTTAGTTGGTTATTAATAACTTTTTCAAATATTTAATTTAAATAAAACAACCTTTTTAATATATTAAAAATAAATTGGTAGTGAAAATATAAAACATTTCTAGCATTTAAAAATAATTTTCGGGGTGGCCACATAAAATTTTTATAAGAAATTTTATGTGGCCATTTATTAATGGTTTAACGTCCATGTTTATACACTTATGGGGCTGGGACAGGGATTAAATAATGTCATTTGTTATGTTAAATGGCATGCATTTTCTAAAGCAATTTTTTACATTTCATGCACTTTAAGGCGTTAACCAGTTTTGCAGACCGAGAATAGGTATTTTGAACATTATACTTCCATCAAAAATTAAAAAAGGAAGAATTAATGAGGAGCTTTGATCAAATTTTTACCTCTTAAGAGGATAATAGAGGATTTTAGAAGTGGTTTTAAAAAAAAGAGGACTTTAGAGGACTTTAGAGGAGCTGCAGACACCCTGATTATAAATAAGAGTCCAATACTGTTTTTGATTACCTCAGCATAATTTTGTGTATTCTATCTTTAGAAGACGTTCCACCAATTAACTAATTAATTTATCTGTAATTGATTTATCTGTAAAAAACATGAAGTAAATCTAATATTATGCTTGTGGAGATATATTATATTGTGGAGAACCATCCAAACCACACAAATGGAAAATGTGCATCCAAGTTTCCACTTGTGTGCAAATCTTGCATCCACTTGTCAACATTCTCATTATCACATTTTTCTTTTGTAGTTGTGAATTTAAAATTTTCACAATACTGTTTGCTTTCTTTTAGAATTGAAATAGTTATACAAATAGTTATATATTTTGTATCAACAAAATAACTCTTTTTACCACATTATTTAAAAATAAAAATTGTAATATATAGATGTAATACCTGAAGAAAATTTAGTTTTTATTTGTATAAACTTAAGCCAATTCTTCTCTGCATTTTAGTGCAGTCAATGCTTTGGTACCTGGAAGCCGACAAACAGTTTTATCACTAATCCAATTAGATGGAATTACTTCTTCTTGTAAATCTTCATTCCAAACAGCTCCTTTCCGCATATTCGATTTTGAAAAAATTACATGAACTAATATAAAATGAAGAAACCATAATATAAGTGTACTAACAGGCCTAATTAAACTACCTAAATTTGAACATTTTATAACCATGATACTTGCTAAACAATAATATTAGTAGACATTATAAGCAAAGATAAGATTTTCTTTATTTTATAAATTTATTATATTTTAAACTCATTTTTATTAATTTATTTATTACTCTATTATTCAGCAGAGTTCTGAATATATTATGTTCAAATAACTTAAGGCTCAATAACAAAGACAAATAATGAAAGAAAACTAGGTTGCTAAAACATCAACATCTACATAAGATTATTATGGAATGTTGAAAAAAAATAGAAATACAAAAAAACAAAAATACTCATTATTAATATAAAATATAACAGTATAATTAAAGGTATATTATAATATATGACACAATAATATCGACTTTTAATTAAAATATAAAAACAACAAAAATTAAAAAAGAAAATATTTTGATAAATAATAAATTATCATTCAAACAATTTTCAAGATCAAAAAATAACTTGTAACTTATTGTTTTACTTATCTTTATCTACTAAACATTACTTATTTTTTACTCATCTTCATCTAATAAACATTAATATTAATACCAATTTTAAACATTATTAGAATTTTTTTTTTGTCAAAAAATAAAAACGTTACAACAGTTACTTTTTTGGCTTTTCTTATTTTACTTAAAACATCAACTCAATTCTAGACTTTTTTCATAATTGAGTTTTAATTTGTAATGTTGAATTAACACTGAAAAAAAAAATATTAGCAGACAAAAAGAAAATATTTCTTTATTGAAATATATGTAAATATTTCAATAAAGAAATTTTAGATTGATTTTAATAAATATAAATTTATATTAATCAATCTATATTTTTTTCTAAATTTTTTTCTAAATTTTTTTCTAAATCAATCTAAATTTTTTTCGTTTCCGCCACCTTTTCGAAATGAAGCATATTTTTAGAAGTTAGACAAAATGCCATCAATTAAAGTTTCAGTCGTTCCATCGTATTTAATAGAAGAAGCTCTTAATAAAAAAGAATTAGAAAAAAAAAAAAAAAAAAACACAAGGAGAAGTTTTTGAATATATAAAAAATGAGAATAAAAAAGTTTTTCATATCTTATAAAGGTATACCTTTCACTACACCATATAAATTAGAGCTCTTAAAGCATATTTCCACCTTTCCCCTTCATATTTATGGAGATCACAAAATTGTTGGAAAATATTCTAAATTTTATTAGATAAGAGAACTGATATTATTTATGCGAGAACTAATATTAACTTTTTTTTTTAATTTAAATTGAACTCATTATCAAACAATTTTTTTGTTAAATAATTTAATCCTTAAAATTCCTGAATAATTCAAAATTATTTTAATTACCTCAGCATTTTAAAGATATTCCATCAATTGCAATTGATTCACCTAAAAAACAACAACAAGTAAAGCAAATATTATTGTTTAAAATTTTAATTATCTTTATACAAATACTCGTCATATTTTTAAAGTGACTGATTAAAATGGATTCAATTAAAATCACTTCATTTGTATTAAAAAATTAATATTAAAGCCTTTATCATACATTATACAAGAGTATTTTGTAATACAATCTAAATATTTGTTGCGATATGTAATTTTTTAATCCGAAATTTAGCTTCTGTAAACTTTAGAAATTTTTTAAAGAAATTATTGATGAATTTGGAGCTTCGGGTACTAATGTTTTTATATTGCTGTAATGTTTCTATTCATTCCCTGTTAGTTTCTGTAAGTCAAAATTTTAAGGTGATTCCATAATAAATTTTGTTATATCTAAAATTTAGTGTTAGTCTGAATAATTTACTTTCTAAAATCTGTTTTGCATTGCCTGTCTTATAACATCTTTACTTGGAACAAAAACCATGTGGTTTAAAAGGGAGCTAGAAGCTTTCAACAATGAAGAAAATATTGCATTCGCTAATCCTAAAAATATATTAAACCTGTCAGCAAAATCAGCTGTCAAT